AAAAGAAAAGGAAGATGTTGGTAATTTGTCAAAAACTGTCGATTAAAAAGAGGTAAAACAAAAACTGAGATCTGTAAAACAAAAAATTAACGGTTCTCTAAGTTGAAATTACTCGTCCGCCAAGCCTGATCGAGTGTGATTCCTTGGACGCATCTATCTCCCCCGGTGGAGGTAGATGCGTCCAAGGAATGTGGGTTAATCGGCCCACAAGCCAGTTTGAGAGTACTCGATCCTGTAATAACATGCAGAGATTGGAACATGAAACTCAAATGATCAGCGCCGATGCAGCGTAATGTCACAAGACTCCTCTGACACCCCTTGGGTTGTTAAATAGCAAAAATAGAGAGAGAGAGTCTTTGCATATCTACCTTCTTTCATTTCCCAGATTCTGGACTTTATCTGTTGAACGGTTTTGATTGTTATTTTGATCTATTTTGAATTGCGTGACACTGAAAACCAGCAATTTCTGGGTTCTCGAGACTTGAAACTAAATTTCAGACCCTCCCTTTCAGTTAGAGCGGCTCGGTAAAGAACACAACAAACCCGGTGATCTAGATTTTTAGCGAAGCTCCTACGCCCCGAAGGCGCGCGAGCGGAGCCCCATACCTTAGAACATTTGGTAACCCATCGATCTCAAAAATTTTGGTTGTCACGTGACTGTCCTTACCTACGTCCGTCCGTACGCCAAGCCCCATTCCTTTAGTTGCTATTGAACATCCATGCCAGGAGGGAGAGGTCAACTTCGCTTATGTAGCCATGCGATTGCGCGCTCGATGATCTTGGCCATTATGACGTCACTCGTGAGCGGCCCGTGAAGTTTCAATGGCCGCTAAAATAATGACACCAGAAAAGTTTTTCATCCGATGATTGCTAAAAGAATTTGAAAGAAAGCGATCAACAGACCTCAGGAATAAGATAACCTGTTAATATTTTGTCCAAAAATACTTTGGTTTTCAAAAACTAGATGTCAAAAGGATCAAAAACACGCAAAATTTCGAGATCGCTTAATTGAAAACGTGATTTTAAAGTGAAACTTTGTGCTCGTTTCATGGGCGATATCTGGAGAACCCAACGATGAACAACACGAACACAAAAATATGATCTTGATATGGTCTAAAACGTTTAAATGGTGATGAAAACGAATCATTTAACATATGCATAAAAATGATCAGTGGGTTTAAACCCATTATTCTGTAGACGATAGCGTGGAGGACCTGCTGATCAATACTCGAAACCCTCGAAATATGAGAAAGTATTCGATGGAAAATGTTCCCTTACAAAGATATTTAAGCTATCAAGTCATATGCTGAGTTGGAAAGTACATAATGCCCCAAAGAATTATTTTTCTGCNTTTCCGAAACAGGGAGTGATCTAAAAGTAACTTGGGAGGGATTATGTTGTGAATATGGCCTATAATGCGGATTAACTCTATTCCTCTTCATCTTCTATTGACGCAAAATAATAGCGGGGATGCAAGGAATACGACCGGCATGTCGCAATAGACTAATTTCGATGTATTAAAATTCAGCCTGTAGTTATTCCCCAGAGCCTCGCACTAAGGTCTATTGCTACAGGCTGAATTTCAATATATCGAAATTGATCTATTGAGATACCCCTTCATATTGCGTGACAATCTCGTTGGTAAAACTCGCGGCTCAGTAAAATCCACTTATAAGCATGTGTTTCCTCATTCTCCTTCCCAGAGCCCACTGTGTCGAGAAACAACGAGAGATGATGAACCGATTGTCGCGAGGACTTCGCTTCGCTTCGCTTTCGTTTGATACCCCTCCGTAATACAAAACCCCCTTTAAAGAGAGGTTGAATTATTCAAAATAGTGTCATTGCCAGTATTGCACGAGATAGCACACACTGAACACACACCGCTTTAAATAACGTTCTTTAATCAGTTTAATTGGTCATAAAACTAAACGTCAAAAACGCACAAGTAAAACTTCAAGCAGTAACAAATAAAATTTCTGTATAAAACAAACAATACCGTGCTCTTATTCCAAATTCTGTGTACTGTGTGACATATTTCGGCTTGAATGTAAATCTCAGGCTTCTCTCCCCAACGCGCTCGAAAAGATACTTTTACAAAATAAAAATGGATGTCTTTCAACTTTGTACATTGTTCTTTAACGTTCTAAATAAAAATACTATGTCGTATCATAAATTTTGATAATTTTCTCCCAAGTAAATTCACACATTAAACAGAACTGCCACTATGTATTTTACTCGGTGGAACAACTAGTCTAGCTGACTCAAGATAACTTTTAAAAAGATCTCGTACATTTTCGGGAACTCACTTCCACTTACAAAATTCTATTACCTAACTTAATATCATTTAAATTTTGCCATTCACTTGCAGTCGGTAACAACCCCAAAATATAACATTACCTCTTTGTTTGTTTGCGTACATGTATTATATATCTTTTAAATTTCTCAATAAAAAAAGTAAAAACAGTGCAATGTTTCGAAAACGTTGATTTCCTAATTAAGCAATATTGCTTGCGTGCTATTAGCTCTGTTGAAATCCAACCCGACCACTCGTTAATATTTTGTCGTTCCATTGAATGAAGTGCAATAAGTATTAGACCTTTTAGACGTTATTTAACCCCTTTTTATTCCTGCTTAAGGTTCTCTCCCAAGCGTGTATCGATTACACGACAACTTATGGTATAAACGGAATGATGAAGATCAAATACTCGTGATTTCATTCTTGTTAATGGCACAGTAAAATTTTAGTGTAAAATGTACACCAACTTAGTCAACAGGTGCAAACAAAGGAACAATCAGTGATTTGGATAACAAACCTGTTTATGAAGCTATTACACTATTCAATCAACGGACTAAAGCCAAAAAGAATTCGAAAAACTTGATATAATTGCCCAGTGAGTAATGAAGAACCTCAAATCGATATAAAAAGTGTGAAAATGATAAGAAATGAAAGGAAAAATTTTTTGCAGTAATGGCAAAAGAACCCCTTAACCTTGATGTTCCTTGCTAATAATGAAAAATCACTTGAACACTGTGAGGAAACTCGCCGGTTCCTCCACAAACAACAAACACCCTGCCATCACCACTCACCGCCATATCCGTGATTCCAGGCAGTGTGCTGTAGTAAGACTCTAGTGAACCATTCGGCATATAACAACGAACCAGCTTGTACAAACCACTGTATGCCAGCACTCTGAAATCAGTCACGTCCAACGCAATCACCAGCGGATAAAAAGCGTGCTCGTTTGGATCTTTCTTCAGCATGCACTCACCAAACGCTCTCAGGTACTTACCCTGCTGGTCAAACACACTCACCATACAACGATTGTTCTTCTTGTCCACGTCCGACACGAAGAACTCATTGTTGTGCAAGACAGCTTTTGTGGGATGTAAGAGTTTTCCTGACAGACTAGTCCCAAAGCAAAGCAGTTCTTCGCCTCTCGTGTTGTAAACTTTAATACACGGTTCATGGCCGGGCATTACTGGTGTACACGTGACTAAGAGCTGCTCGGTATTTACGGTTGAAAGCCGCGTGAACCAATAAGAATTCGATGTTAATTTGACGAGACTGCGAGTGAATCGACCTGAACTATCAAACGCTTGAATCCGCGCAGGATTGCCAAACAGACATCCATCAGCAACAGCGATTAAATGTCGAGTTAAAAATGTCACACCAGTTGGCGATTCAAGATTGCCATCTTTTGATCCTCGCACGCCAATACGAGCCAGAAACTCTCCTTGCTTGCTATAAAGTAACACCGTGTGATTCCCTTGATCGCTGACCGCAATGTTACCTTCATCGTTCATAGCCAAGGCAAATGGCTGGAATTTTTGCCTCAACGGATGCGGAATATTTAACGAATGAAATCTTGTTCCAGGTTTGAGAACTTCAAGACTTTTTAAGTCCTCGGTGACAAGTGAATTGATTAGTGTGTTTGAAGTTGTTAATTGTCCCTTCAGGCACACTGCTCCAAACATGTTTCCAGTAACACATTGAAGCACTTCTTTGTTTCCCACAAACTCGAACAAAGCCTTCGGCTTTTCAGTTTCGGCAGAATGCAAATGGCTTAGTTTAGTACACGCTACATTTGCATCTCTGATTCTGTTCATCAAATGTTCTTTATCGTTCGCCACGTCCAAAGCGTCTCGCAGTTTTAACGAATTTTCAACATGAGTCAACAATGTTTCTGTTTGCAGCGCCAGAAAACACGCTGGAAGTTTCTTCTCTTCTTTCTCAACTAAAGCATCGACTTCAATGCACAAAGCTTCTTCTTGCTTGCGTAAAACCTCGACGAGATTTTCAAAGTCTTCGTGAATCTTTCGCTTGATTATTTCGCCCTGTCGTTCCACATCAATGCGAGCTTCGTCGTAGATTCTTCGCACGATCGCTAATTTTTGGCTACAATCCTTCACCGCTTGTCTTATCTCTTGAATAACTTTCTTAGCCGGCGAATCTCGAATTAAACGCGCCAAATAATCATTCGTAGGGAAACCTTCCACTCCTCGCTGGGAAATAGGACAAACAGTTCTACATATAGGACAGCGAAAGCTTATCGTATGATGATGCAGTAATTCTTTGAGACACTTCTTACAAATGTTGTGAAGACACGGTAAAACCTTTGGCTCCACGTATTCCTCTAAGCAGATGGGACAGTTAAACTCTTTGCTGAAAATGTGATCTATGTTACTAACCGGAGAAGCCATGAGATCGTTTGAAACCGGCGGGTAAAGCAGCTTGTGTAATCGTTGTGCTCCGAGCTTTCTATTTGTTTATACTTTGACCACGCGGCGAATATGGACTAGACGATAACAAAAGAACTGATTTGCATAATAAATATGCGACCACACAGTAGAAATGCTGACTAAATTTGCTCTTCAGGAACGTGTAGTTTCGCACAAATTTTGTAGGACTAGCGATTTAAAGTATGTTGTCAGGCTTTGTTACGCGACTAGACAAATATTTTGATCCCTTTCACTAAGTAATATTTGTTTAAAACTGACATGAATTGGTTGCTGTTTCAACTCACTCAGACTTTCATGAAAAAAAGAGACAAAATTCTAAATTTTTGAGACCAGAATAAGTGGTGATCGTTATAGAACGCGGTTGTATTTGATTCTCCACAAGAGAAAGCAAGAAATCCCTAAGCCTGTTTTAATTATTTTCGCTTCAATAACGAAGGCATTTGGAACGGGCAGTGATTCTGAAATTTCTATGAAAGACCATAAAACAATAAAAAAGCGCTAATGAGACCTCTTTGCGTTTGCATGGGACCGCCCTTAATTTGTTTGTTGTTGTTTTTATTTAAATAATAGCCTATACAAAGCAAAAGCCAGGTCATTTCTGTGAGTCTTCTGGCTAAGAAAATAACGAAGCAAGTGGAAAGAACACGAAAAAAAATCGGGGTTAACATCTACCTGTTAACACCAAGCCTGTTAACAGGCTTATGTTCGAGGTTTTTCTCTGCTTTCATTGGTGAGTTTTACAGGTTTTAACACCAAAGATGAGCCAATAAACGTAAGTCACGAGCTGTTGGCGAGTGTCTTACAAACTAACCGTGATAGCCGAGTGTTCTGCATTCCAACTGTTCGGTAATCGACCTCAATCGAACTTAACCGAACGACTGGGTTCAATTGAGTTCGGCAACCGTACAAAATTGAACCAAACACTTTGTATGAGGGTTCGATAGGGTTCGATTGCGTTCGATTTTTGAACCCAATCGAACTTCATCGAACGTTCTAAACCATCACTCGAAGTAGACAAGAGTTTTAAGTCTTTCTTCGCAGGCAGTAACCTGCGATCCGGCATTCTTTTTTTCGGCAAACGGGAGAAGGGGAAAAAGAACTTATCCGCTGAGTTCGCTCGTAAAAAAAGAAGGCCTGACTGTTGCATTTTGTTAAAAGACTTCATTTTTCAACTTAAAAGAAACCGATCATAGCTTGATCAGTTGACTTGAAGTCACAAATATTTGCCTTTAAAGAAAGATAGTTTAACGTAAAGCTCACTCAGTTATCAGAGACGGTTTTCGATTACAAAGGATCACGATCGCTGACGCTGACAAAAGATTTTCCCACAATAAAGAAGGTATTCTTGAAAACTTTACACATCAACATGACTAAGAGATATAAAACAACACAATATTCTTAGTTTAATTGTTAACTCCAGATACAGGCTCTGTTTATTTTACTACCATATTACTTCCTTAATTTCTAGAGATGCTTTCACAACACTAAAATCTAAACCTACATCACATCACAACCTGGCATTGATGATCTGTACAAACTCAGGTTTAAGAGATGCACCTCCAACAAGAAAACCATCCACATCACCTTCCTTAGCTAACTCTTGACAATTCTTGGCATTCACAGAACCTATTGCAATGAGAAACAAATCAATATTTTTCTGTTGAAATTTGCGACGTTTTTCCTTCGCGTATTTACACTACGCCCTATTCACAATAGGCTATTTTCGATATATTAAAATTCAGCTTGGCATTAAGGCCTAGAGGACACTAACAAAGGACATTGAATGACATGTTTATTCATTGCTGTTGTTTGTGTCTACCATTAGCCTCGCTGTCAAGCTGATTTTTAATATATCGAAATCCATCAAATTTTTTCGTTCGCACGCGATTGGTCTAAATGCGTCAGAGGACTGAACAGCCGCAGCTTAAACTGGGGAATATCTGAGCGGTATTCTCCAGTTTTCAAAACTGCGCGCATTTCGAAATATTTGAAGGATAATAAACACAATACTTAACTACAAAATAGCCCGAGATTGCCTCTCATATATGCTGGATTATATCGTAATGCAAACGAAAAGTTAACCGCGAACGACTTCTTTCCCAGCGTCCTCTCTCAAGAGGACCCTGGAAACGGGGTTGAACCGCGAAAAGGACTATTACCGTTACACTGAAGACGTACGTCGAAATATGTTTGAAGAATTTATAAATGTCTTCTATTTCTGAAACACAACGTACTAGTGAAAAGTAAGTCGCTTCATGCTACTGAAACTGGAGATAAGCGCGGGCCTGAGGGCCACTTGGCTCACGTGCAAACCAATACCTAACTTATTTTAGTGGAGGAAGATGAACTAAAGTTAACAAGTTAATGCTTAGTGTTGCAGTATCCAAAAGTGGACATCGGGTCTTGGTTTGACTTGGGCAAGGCACTTTACTCTCACAGTGTCTCTCTCCAGACAGAGGTGTCTAAATGGGTACTGGCAATTTTAATGCTGGGGGTAACCCTGCGATAGACTAGCATCCTATCCAGTGGGGGAGTAGAAATACTACCAGTCACTTAATGCTATGGAAACCAGTATAAGCTCTGACTGTATGGACCACTTGGACTGGCCAACTTTACACTAACACATAAATATGAACTTTGTTTTACAGCCCACCTCCATAGATAATTCGAGTTGAACCAGCAACAGCCGCTGAGACGTTATCTTTGAGCCAGCCTCTCAGCTGATGATGGACCTCCTGGGCCTGAAATCAGAGGCTAAACCTTAAGAAACTATTGGAAACTAATTCGCTAAATTGGGAAGGTTATTAGGTTATTAGGTTATTAGG